AATGGCTGCTTTTCAGCTGCCCAATAGTCACTCAGCACCAAAGCGTGAACCTAATGTCTATAGTAATAGTAACTAGTAATAGTAATAGTAGTTAGTAAAACGAGGTCTGTCCTGGCGGAACAGCTGGCCATCTTGCAAAGCAGCAGGGAGGCGCGGAATCTGATGTGCAGGTACCATGGTCTTCCGTGCATCTCCGAGAAATATTGAATCATGGACCGAATCTGCGCATGTCGACATCACATGTGACTCATAAACTTGCATCAGGCCGCGATTCTCTGTCACAGCTTCCTGCAAGCAGGCATTTCCCAGCGCGCTTCCGGATGTCAGCGCCCCTGAGCCGGAACAGACGCTGCTCCAGATGGATGCAGCAGGCACGCGTCGCAAATTTGAGTATGTTGGAGATGGGTTCGGCGCAGTGACTTGAGACGCCAGATAGTCTCAAATAGCCTGGCCGATAGTCTGCCTACGGTGGGCCTGCGTAGTGTCCTCTGCCCGGGTACGGATTCGAAATCGTTCCTCAGGCTTGGACAGTTGCTTTTCCTTGGAGCAGAAAGTGCTTCTACTACACTTACGGAAGCAGGTGACCTTCAGCAAGTGCCCTGAACCGCAGGCGCAGGGAGAAGACCGGTCAGCACTTCCAACGGGCCTGCGCCGGCAGGTGTGGGTGTATCTCACAGGGTGTCCTGGCAGCACAGATCCGATGATACTCAGTAACACAACTCACTCTGCGTCTCGGTCGAGCTACAAAGCGATTCAGTTCGGAGGCAGCTTAGTTAGTGGCTTAGCGTAACTTAGCCGCCTTCTCTAAGCCGCACATTTATGCTTTGGGTGCTGCCAACGACGGGACGGGAACACCTCGGCTGGACGATGGGGGAAATAGTAAATGCATACTTGTGGTGCGCACACACACACACACACACCTACATACAGACATACACTAATGAACATGTTGACGCCGGTGCGGCGGCTGCACTGCTTTGGGATCTGCCACAGGACGCTAGGGTAAAACCGGAAATCCTGTGCTTGCTAGGCCGATTTGTGTGCGATTGCACTGTTGACGGTTGTTCGCGGTAGCTTCTATGAAAGTCTTAGCGACAGGAAAACTCCACATCTTGAGTCTCAAGCTTCTGGCCCTGATTCCTGCAGCGGCTTGCCAAGGATCCAACCGAGGAGGGCGACGAAGGAAGTGCTCCACGCCCTCCAGTCGAGATCACCTCCGGATGGGATGCATCTGGGAAGCAATGGTGGAGGTAGTCCAGGTGGAGAGCAGGTCCCGCCTAGCTTGGTTTTCATGACTTTTTGATGTTTCGGTGTCTCCCTCAGCTGCTGCACTTCCTCCTCGTCCTCATGCTACAACTACGCCATTTGTTAGTTGGTAGTGAGCAGAAGGTACAGTATGGTTGTGTTACGTTATCAAGTCTTTCTGGCATTGCAGGCGGTAGTTAATGCAAGTGCCACAGCGGCATGCGTGGCAGACTGACAGACCTGCTTGACAACTTGGTGATTCAATGGCCGTTAACAGATTCATGACCCAAGCAGGTCTTCAATCCTGACGATCAGCTGCTTGGGTTTGCACGCAGTATAGGAAATGGGGGCTGGGCAGTGCCATCGCAATGTGAACTCTGTGGGATTCGCTACTTTGCTTTCTCAAGTTACTCCGAGCCTAACATTGCTTTGATATGGGCACGGGCATCAACATGTGTGGTAATACCTTCGAGCGTGCTTGGCGCACAAGGCTGGAGCACACCATCCCTACCGGAAGAACAGAGCCTGCGGCAAACACCCAGGATGGTCCCTTGGCAGGTGTCCTGAAGTGGGGGAGCAGAATTTTGAATCGGTTGCAGGCTACGTGCAGGGCGGAAGTCCGGGATGTGTGCAATGGTCGCAGGCTTTCCGGTTCAGCATGCCCTGGCCCAGGTTGGGGGGACTTCGATTTTGACGACCTGATGTGACGAGATGTGAGATAGATTCAACAATTTTCCAGCACAAGCAGGCCTCAGCCTCCTGCTTGGAGCCCACCCTGGCCGCGCAGGAACAATCTTGGAAGCTGAGCCCTAAACCCC